AACTCGCATGTAACAATAACATTTTCCCGTCGATTTAGCAAATCCTAGCGATTGAAGGTTGATCTGATTCATAGTTTGCACACTGCGTTTGAAGCTGATAAGGCTAAATCCTGCCTGGTCAATTTGAACAACAAAAGATAACCTTGATTTTTATCATAAAGAAGGAACACAACATCTCAAGAAAAACAACTGGTTGTAAGCAGGTACGGAGGGAATACAGGCGTTTTCAGCAAACAAAAATGAAATATCTTTATCGATATGTCATTACAACTCAGGGTTGCCAGATTGCCCTTTATCAACCAAATTTTCCAATTTTGCCCCTTTTCAGAGTGAAATAGCCTGGAAAATTTGTTTTTGGCCTACTACTTAAATCTGGCCTTATTTGGCCTTATCAAACATTACGAGGTCGTTCCTTTGTTTGATATAAACTTTGATAGTTATAAACAAGACAAACAAATTATGAATTGGAGGAACAATACTGCACGGTGTAAACTAAATTATAATCTGCTAACCTAGCGATTGGCAAAGGAATTTTTTGAAGGAGAAAGCTTTTCAATTTCTTGCTTGAGCTTGGAAAATATCTTAAAGGCTCAGGCATGGAAACATATACTTCATTTTGCGCTGTGTATTTTTAGGCAATTTGTTAATTTGGTCTTTTTATTTGCATTTGGGCCTAGGTTTGTCCGACCCGTCTGGCAACCCTGCTACAACCTTGAAATTTTTAACCAACTACTGAAACTCTGACACTTTTCAACAGGGTTTGGCAGCATCCAATGGACAGAGTTTTGTGAGAACGAGATTGATTTGAAAATTGAAAGGACACCAAAAGCTGATTACAAGGATAGGTCCCTCGATGCTAAAGGGCTCATTTTGATTTTTGAATGATATTGGGGGAAGTAGTTTTCATTTTGTCTCAGAGATCCCCATTCTTTTATAACCAATGGAATTTAAGTAACCAATTAAGACATGTTTTGAATCGGTTTTGTTGTTGAAGCCTCCACCACAAAAACAGAAAAGGCCATGTAGATGTACGAAATGCCATAAGGAGTGGTCAGGAGAAATGCCTCTCTATTCGGAGCCTTGCAAACAAAATATGGTACCTGCACACAAGAGGTTTTACCTGA